CCTCTGCTTTTGGCACGTGATGGCCCCGTAGGACCGTTTTTCGACCTCCCCAGGTTCCAGAGGCTTTCTAGGAGCCTGGGGAGGGCAAAAACAGCCTTCCCATCCCCCCTGGAGGCCCTCCAGAGTCTGGAAACAACCAGTTTCCCGACTTCCGGTGGGACCAGAAGGCCTGAAAATCAGTTGGCTGGTGCGCGCATGCGCGCTGGAGCTGAGCTAGGGCATCACTTGCGTGCCCACCAATATGGGTCCGCGTGCCACCTCTGGCACGTGTGCCATAGGTTCGCCATCATGGATATAGGATTACTTGCTTAAGCAAGGGGGTTGGACTAGAAGACCTCCAAGGTCCCTTCCAACTCTGTTATTCTACGTTCTATAATTATCTGGGTACATTAACCTAAATTATGATAAATTTGGGTGCTCCGTCACTGAAGGTTTTTAAGATGAGATTGGACAGCCATTTGTCTGTTATTCTGTCCTCTTCCCATTTCTTCAGGTCTGTCTAGTCTATTTCTGGAAATAACAGAGAGCCGAGGCGCAGTGGTTAGAATGCAGTACTGCAGGCTACTGCAGGCTACTGTACTTCAGCTGACTGCTAGCTGCAGTTTGCAGTTCAAATCTCACCAGCTCAAAGTTGACTCAGCCTTCCATCCTTCCGAGGTGAGTAAAATAAGGAGACCCAGATTATTGGGGGCAAGAGGCTGACTCTGTAAACTGCTTAGAGAGGGCTGGAAAGCACTATGAAGCGGAATATAAGTCTAAGGGCTTATTGCTGTTGCCCTTCCTTCCTTCCTTCCTTCCTTCCTTCCTTCCTTCCTTCCTTCCTTCCTTCCATGCTGCGCAGTGGTTAGAAAGCAGGCTAACTCTGCCGACTGCCAGCAGTTCGATCCTGACCTGCTTAAGATTGACTAAGCCTTCCATCCTTCCAAAGTGGGTAAAATGAGGATCCAGATTGTTGGGGGCAATAGGCTGACTCTGTAAACTGCTTAGAGAAGGCTCTAAAAGCAATAGGAAGCGGTATACAAGTCTAAGTGCGATTGCTATTGCTAACAATCTAGCTTGATTCCCTGTAGGATAATCATAGGATGGAAGCTTCACAGAAAACATAGAATAATAGGGGGTGGAAGAGACCTTGGTCCAGCCTTATGCTCAAGCAGGAGACCCCATACCATTTTGAACTGCCCAGTCTGTTCTTGAAAACTTCCAGTGTTGGAGCATTCACAACTTCTGGAGGCAAGTTGTTCCCCTGGTTAATTGTTCTACACTGTCAGGAAATTTCTCCTTAACTCTAGATTGGATCTCTCTTTGACAATCTTCCATCTGTTATTTCTTGTCCTCCCCTTAGGTGCTTTGGAGAATACGTTGACCTTCTCTTCTTTGTGACAGCTCCTCAAGTGCTGGAAGACTGCTATCATGACACCTCTGGTCCTTCTAGGCCTGGAGACGTAAAAGATATGAAGAACGGCTGCAGGATTTGGGTTTGGCCAGGCTAAAGAAAAGAAGAATTAGGGGTGACATGATAGCAACATTCCAGTATTTGAGGGGCTGCCACAAAGAAGAGGGGGTCAAATTATTCTCCAAAGCACCTGAGGGCAGGACAAGAAGCAATGGATGGAAACTGATCAAGGAGAGAAGCAACCTGGAATTAAGGAGGAACTTCCTAACTGTGAGGACAATTAACCAATGGAACAGCTTGCCACCAGAAATCGTGGGCGCTCCATCACTGGAGGTTTTTAAGAAGAGATTAGACAGTCACTTGTCTGAAATAATATAGGATCTCCTGCTTGAGTAGGGGGCCAGACTATAAGACCTTCAATGTCTATTATTCTATTCTATTCTATTCTATTCTATTCTATTCTATTCTATTCTATTCTATTCTATTCTATTCTATTCTATTCTCTCTACTCTACTGTCCCTATTCTATTCTATTCTATTCTATTCTATTCTATTCTATTCTATTCTATTCTATTCTATTCTATTCTATTCTATTCTATTCTATTCTATTCTATTCCTCTCTACTCTACTCTACTCTACTCTACTCTACTCTACTCTACTCTACTCTACTTACTCTACTCTACTCTACTCTACTCTTTCTATTCTATTCTATTCTATTCTATTCTATTCTATTCTATTCTATTCATTAGACAAGACATACCCTGTTCCCTCAATCGTTCAGCCTCTAGACCCCTAATCATCTTTGTTGCTCTTCTCTGTGCCCTTTCTAGGGCTCATTTTGTGGAAGTGTTTCTATTTATCAAAGATGGACTGCACAATATTTCAAGGCACAAGAGGAAAGTCACATATAAACAACACAGAGGAAGAATAGGATCTAAGCAGAGTCCTTGCTTTGCTGTGAGAGTATTCTAGGTTTAATTGAAATAAGAGCCAGAAGATTCTAATCCTTTTATATCTGTAATGCTCTGGATTTTATGACCTAGTTCACCAGAACAAAGATGGAGATTTAAGCCAGATGTCAGCCCTGAAGCTGGCCTGGTCGAAGCCATCTTGGAGCTTCAGTATTGCCACAGTGGAGCTGAGGGATAGTATTGCGGCCCGCCAGCTGCAAGTGGAGCTGGTGGCAGACTCGGATGATGAGGAGGTTGGGGAGGAACTTGGGCCAGTGCTGGAGTCTGGGGAAGGCTCTGATGGATGCTCTGCATCGGACACAGAGATAGAGCCAGGGCCGTCCGACATTTCCCAGCCACCGGAGAGATAGCTGCCTTTGGAGGCTGAGATGAGTGAGGAGGAAGAACAGCTGGGGCCTGTTCCAGATGCACGTATGTGCAGAGCAGTAGGAGAGGAGAACAACGGAGGACAAGGAGACGACTTGGGAAGCAAGGCACACGTGGGTGCTAAATGGCCCCTCCCTGGCTGGGGAATAAATAGAAGGAAAGGGGAGTGGTGGTCGTAGGAGACAACCATTCGTATTTCTGAAGATTTGGCTCATTGCGTTTCGTGCTACAGAGACTGCTTGCCAGTCTCTTTTCGGCTGGGAGCTCATGGCCTGGCAATTATCGCAAGGAACTGATAAGGTCTGTTACTGCAGTTAACTCCTTGAAGGACTTTTGCCTGGACTTTTTGGTGGGTGAATGCAATTAATTCACAAGAGGTAAATAAAGAGGGTTTATTCGTGACCAGGAGTCTGTTTCTTGCTTCTGCTAAGGCTGAGTCAGAACAGATAGGCAGGGGGGATTAGAGATAGCTTGGTGTTGTGTAGTCAAAATAAAATACTCTTGGGAACCAAGGATGTTCTCACACCTGGTCGGAGGAAGGAGGAGTGAAGTCACCAGGCAACCAGGCAGCGCCTTGATTGGACTATGTGACTGGTTGTTTGGAGAGGGGGAAAAACTTTTAATTAGGTGAAAACCACGGGATTTTTCAGAGTCGGTTTTCATCAGATATGTGCCAATATGATATTTCCAATGAAGCTATTCTTCAAGGAATCTACTTGTCTTGGTGTGTTGCTTGAAATTTATTAATTCAATTCAATTATTAATTCAATTTATATGCCGCCTTTCTCCGGAGACTCAGGGTGGCTGAAATGGATGTATTACTTGGAACCCGGATAAGGGGTTGTAATCTTTGATAGACTAAGGACCATACCTGTGGTAGAGATGTTGCGTCATCAGAAGGAAGTTCCGAGATTAGAGAATGACAGATCGGTAGCCATACAGTTTGGGGTTTTCTATTCGTATTAGGAAGATCGTGCAGTAAATATACATATATGTCAGTTGATGAAGGTTTGAGAAATCTGTATCTTTAACTGAAAGCCTGAAGGGTTGGTAGACAATGGCAGCCAGCCAAAAACTCAAATTGCCTTGAGCCAAAGGAAGGTTGCTTGCATTATTAATACGGACGCATTAAAATCCAGCAGGGATTCTTTAATAGCAGGAGCTATATATATTATCTCTATGGTGTACCTCAATACATTTTAGAGATATTTTTAAGAAGCTCTAATTACATCCAATTTCAGGTTGGGCTCTAATCTGGAATACAAATAACCCAGCTATTTTACAATGTGACTCTTTAATTAGGCATTCCTTACTGCTGAACTGGAGCTCAGATGTTCCTCCAGATCATCTTTGCATCCATATAAACTCAACAGCATCAACACATTCCCCCCCCCCCCAAAAAAAACAATGGGTGTTAGAACCCAGTATGTTGTCAGGAAAGTCCTGGCTCTTTGCTTATCCAGTGAAGAAGAAAAGGCAATACCAACAAGTAAACCTTGTTGGCCAGAAAGATGGGACAAGACTCAGCAAACCATCTTGATCCAACAAGGTCATAGTTGACCATGGAGGTGCAGAGCTGAAGGATAGAGACTCAACTCCACGCTATAAAAAAGATCTTGAGATGCTAGAAAAAAGGAACCAAGATGATTAGCGGGCTGGAGGCTAAAACATATGATGAATGGTTGCAGGAACTGGGCCTGGCTAGTCTAGTGAAGAGAAGGACCAGGGGAGACAGGATAGCATCTTCCAATATTTGAAGGGCTGCCACAGAGAGGAGGGGGTCAAGCTATCTTCCAAAGCATCCGAAGTCCAGACAAGGAATAATGGATGGAAACTGATCAAGGAGAGATTCAACCTGGAAATAAGGAGGAATTTCCTGACAGTGAGAACAATCAACCGAAGGAGCAGAAGTTGCCTTCAGAAGTTGTGGGAGCTTCATCACTGGAGGCTTTCAAGAAGAGATTGGACTGCCATGTGCCAGAAATGGTGTAGGGTCTCCTTCTTGGGTGGGTGTTGGACTAGATGACCTCCAAGGTCCCTTCCAACTCTCTTATTCTATATTCAATGGAACGACTTGCCTTCAGAAGTTGTGAGAGCTTCATCCCTGGAAGCTTTCAAGAAGAGACTGGACTGCCATCTGTCAGAATGGTGTAGGGTCTCCTACTTGAGGTGGGCTGACTAGATGACCTACAAGATGACCTTTCCAACTCCTTAAACTCCTCAAAAGCCAAGAATAAAATATCTCCTATGGCTGATGATCCTAGCACTTACTTTAACCACATCCTCAGCAGAAGACTTGCATTCCACCGATTCAGAGATATCCATCACCATATTGTTTTCTTCAACAGAAATCACCTTGACTGGAACAGCAACTGTTTTCCCAGTGAGGATGGCCGTGTTCAAGATATCCGTGTCCTGGAATACAATGGAAACAAAAGCAGGTTAAAAAAAAAACAGTAACTGTGAGAGGGACCTTGGAGTCCTGGTAGACAATCACTTAAACATGAGCAATTTGTGGCAGCAGTCAAAAAAGCAAATATAATCAGTAGTGGGATTCAAATAATTTAACAACCGGTTCTCTGCCCTAATGACCGGCTGGATGGGTGTGGCCAGGGTGTGTGACAGGCAGCACTTGGCTTCCTGCACCCCCCTGGGAGCAAAAACAGGCCGCCGGGGGGTGGGATGTAAAGGGCTCCCCTCGCACATATATGCTAGTCGTTCCCGACTCTAGGGGGCGGTGCTCATCTCCGTTTCAAAGCCGAAGAGTCAGCGCTGTCCGAAGATGTCTCCGTGGTCATGTGGCCGGCATGACTAAATGCCAAAGGTGCACGGAACGCTGTTACCTTCCCACCAAAGGTGGTCCCTATTTTTCTATTTGCATTTTTTTACGTGCTTTTGAACTGCTACATTGGCAGAAGCTGGGACAAGTCACGGGAGCTCACCCCGTTACGCGGCATTAGGGATTCGAATCGCTGAACTGCCGACCTTGTGATTGACAAGCTCAGCATCTTCGCCACTGAGTCATTGCGTCCTATATGAATGGTAGCATATAAATATATAAATTTTCATGAGTGTGGGTCTGGTGTCATTCTTTGTGTTAGGGACTCGTTTGTCCCTAACTTCCTAGAAAGGGAAGTTGGATGTCTTAGTCTACAGGAAATCCAATGGCTCCCTATGACACACCATCTACCAGAAGAAAACACACACAAACCGCTATCTGCACGCACTCTCACACCACCACCCAGCACAGATCAACTCCATAGCCAAGACACTCATCTCCAGAACAAAAGAATGACAAAAGAATGACACCAGACCCACACTCACAAAAATCACACAGGATGTCACCACCACACATCCACGCAAAAAGAAACTCAAACCCACACCGATGATGAGGCACGACCACAAACCAGAAGCCAGACCGCAGCTGCATCATTAGCCACTTTAAACCCCTCCAATCCATATATGAAGCAAACTGACACCCACCATGAAGATGTGGCACGACCACGAACGCGAAGCCAAACAACAGCAACGCAGCTCACCAGCTCAAATCCCCCTGCAACTCAGACTAACCCGAGCACAACCAAGCCCCCACCCAAACAGAACACACCCCCATCCAATCAGAGCACAGCCAACCCCCCATCCAATCAGAGCACAGCCAAGCCCACAACCAATCAGAGCACACCTCCACCCAATCAGAACACAGCCAAGTTCCCACCCAATCAGTTCACACCCCCACTGGCAGTTAAAAGGAAGAAACAGCTGTGATCACACATTGCTCCTAGAAGCCCGAAGCCGAAAACACCAGCCTAAAGATGACGAATGAGACTTTGTTGAAACATCGCCAAGACACTTCCAATTTTACGCAGAAGAAAACCCGAATAACCAAAGACCTACATATATACATACATACATACATACATACATACATACATACATACATATATATATATATATATATATATATATATATATATATATATATCAGAAGAAGAATGTGAAAACCATTTCCACATTGCTCCTAAAATAATTACTGAGCTCACCAGGAGCTGAACTTTACATTTATATCTCAGTACTAAATTAAATCAACGATTAAAATAATATCCTGCCTTCAGCAGGTATCTGTAAAAATGCCAGGAAAAGGATATTATTAAATCTTGGTCAAATAAGGCAACATATTTCCCCCACCCCACACTCCCTCTCCTAAAGTTTTGCCAAACTGTTTTCCGTTTTCATTTGAAAGAAATATTTTCAAAACAGACCCGAGAGATAGAAATAAATGATCCATAGATGGGCATCAAACCATCTGAAGGAAAAAAAAAAGCCTGCCATTTAAATGCTAAACGCATCAATTCCAAAACATTTGTACAGTTTAACTTCGCTCCTGTTCCATAACATTTAAAGGACATTTACGATCGCTCTGTCATCAGAGATTAAGAAACGCGTATATGAAAAACGCAGGGATGGAAAACATTTGGCCGATTCTTCTTCTTCTGTTTTTCAAATCGAAGGCAAATGGACCAACCGTTGAATAAATGGGATGTTAGTGGGAGGAGCTGCAGATTTTCTAATTTCAGTTGCTACCCCTAGCTTGGAGAAGAAAGATGAAGAATTTAATCATCGTGATCAGGCTTTTCATAAAAGCCCTGAGCTAAATAAGAAATAAATTGATTTTTTTAAAAAATCAGTTTTAATTTGTAATTGGTTTTAATTGGGTTGTTTTAAATTGATAGCCAAAATTAGTTAATGTCTTTTAAACTGCTTTTAAATTTTATATGTTATGTTTTACCGTGGCTGTTCACCGCCCTGAGTCCTGTTGGAGAAAGGCGGTATACAAATTAAATAAAATAAAAATAAAAATAATAATAAAAGGCTGTTTCATCTTCGCTACTCCTTCCTTCCTTCCCACGTTTTATTCCTTCTCATCAGGACATCCCAACCAAGACTTTACAACAATGGCCCCCAACCAGGGGCGGGCTGCTGGGGGTTCGCAAGGGTTCGGGAGAACCTCTAGCTAAGATTCTGTGCACTTCGGAGAACCCCCAAATACCACTCCTCCTAGCTGGCCCCGCCCACCCTGCCCCTCCCCTCCCAAGAGTCCCCACATGGCCTGTTTTGGATGCTGGTAAGTGCAGGGCACCCGTGGAGGCTCTGGGAGGGCGAAAAACAGGCCTACCGGAAGTTCAGGAAGACCAGAAATGGACCTGTTTCCAGGCTCCAGAGGGCCTCCGGAGCCTGGGGAGGCCATTTTCGTCCTCCCGGAGGCTCGAGAAAAGCCTCTGGAGCCTGGGGAGGGCAAAAACGCTCCCCCCACCATGGTGCAGGAGACTGATTAGGCCACGCCCACCATGGGTACGCCCACCCAGCAACCGGGCAGAGAACCCCTTGCTAAAACTTTTGGCCCCAAAATTTGGGGTACCAGGGACCGGTTCCGTGGAGAGAGGTTTTTCCACGGACCGGAGGGTGTGGGATTTCGTTTGCTTGTTTGCGTGGCCCGGTTGCTGGCATGCTGTGGCCTGGTGCCAGTCCACGGACCAGGGGTTGAGGGACCCCTGCCTTACAACACCTAGCAAGTAACTAGATTTGAAGGTGATGTTTATATAAAGTTAAAAACAGAAGAGGTTAAGGAGAGGCTGTTTCTGTCTGGTGGCTGCTAGCTTAAAGCAAAACCCAAAGAATAGCCAATATTTTCTTTCTATATTTCTATATTCTAATTTCTATATTCTTTTCCAATATTTCATCTGCAATGGTTCCAAAACCTTCAGTTCTTCCAAGACCAAGTCTCAAGGCAGTTTCTTTCCCCGTTCATCATCTTCATCAGCAAACAAAAAAGACCACACATGCTTATGGAATTTAGGTTCATGAATGGCCAATAAATATACTTACTCGTCAAAGGATGTACAGTTGCAGGACAAAACAAACAAAAAAGATATTTAAAAAAGAAAAGAACCTAGCTCAGAGAGCATCAAGGACCACACAATCTTCCTTCTCCTCCTCCTCCTTTCCACAAACTCCTTCTAGCACTGATGATGTTCCCTAGTTGGGTAGTGAAATATCTGCAGGAAAACAACCAAGGTCGGAGAGCTCCAAGGACCACACAATCTTCTTCTTCTTCTTCTTCCTCCTCCTCCTCCTCCTCCTCCTCCTCCTCCTCCTCCTCCTCCTCCTCCTCCTCCTCCTTTCCACAAACCTAACTCCTTTCTAGCACTGATAATGCTCCCTGGTTGGGTAGTGAAATATCTGCAGGAAAACAACCAAGGTCAGAGAGCTCCAAGGACTACACAATCTTCCTCCTCTTCCTTCTCCTCCTCCTTTGCACAAACCCCACTCCTTTCTAGCACTGATGATGTTCCCTAGTTGGGTAGTGAAATATCTGTAAGAAAACATTCAAGATCAGTTAGCACCAAGGACTACACAATCCTCTCCTCCTCCTCCTTTCTACAAACCCCACTCCAAGATCAGAGAGCCCCAAGGACCCCACAGTCTCCTCCTCCTCCTCCTCTTCTTCCTCCTCCTCCTCCCTCTCCACAAACCCAGTCCCCTTAGAGGAGAGATTACCCCTGTCCTCCAAGAATAGTAAATAAGGCATTTCACGAGGACTCATGCAACTGTCTCTACGTTACTGTCTGAACGTACATATAAACCTTCTGGATAAGGGTCTATGGACATTCTCAATCATCCAGGTCATGAAGAACGGAAGAAGCTTCTTGGATGAGAAGTCAAACGTTTCCTTTTTTTTTTTGAAAGATTTTTTTTTATTTTAAAACAAAACATAAAACATAAATCCAATCATCCATACAATTGCAAACAGTGTGTCGGTCGGTTACAAGTCTTTTGTGCTTCCTCACCATATTCATTATTTACTAATTATCTGATTTCTCATATTACCAATCTAATAAGTATCTTTGTAGTATAATCCTCATTAATCTTTTCATAAAAATTATTTTCAAATATTTATATTATAACATTCATTTCTTCGTCTTCAATCAACAATAGTCATACCACTTTGTATTGTATTTTGTATATTTCTACTGTTCTTATGTTCTAATAGTCTCATCCCTATTTCCTTTCCATATTTTATTATCTAGCCATTGATAAAATAAGTCCCATATCTTATAGTATTGTTTATCTTCTTGTTCTCTAATTTCAAATGTCGATTTGCTCATTTCAGCACATTCCATGATTTTCTTAATAACTTTGTCTTGTGTTGGTATTTTCTCATTTTTCCAATTTTTAGCAAACACAATTCTAGCCGCTGTTAATACATTCACAATCAAATATCTCAATTCTCTGTTGTATATTTCTGGTACAATCCCTAATAAAAAGATCTCTGGTTTAAAGTCTATGTGTCTTTTTGTCATTTTTTCCAACCATGTGTGGATTTTAGTCCAGTATCTTTTGGCTTCTACACATGCCCA